GAAGGAGGAGGGGGGTTGGGGGGTGGAGGGAGGGAGGGGCACACACACAAAAATATTGTACTTCAATGTCTTAATGATTGACAAATGACAAAATATTTATGTTTTTTTTTAAAGAAATAAAATAAATATTTGTTAAGAAAAAAGAAACAGATAGACATACAGCAGTAAGATTTAGGGAAGGAAACTGTATTTAGAGAACTGAAATTATTGAAAGAGGCATTTCATTTCTTTGTTAAAAGCCTAGATACATAGAAATTGATATGGTATGCAAAACACAGCAAAAATTCCAAACACTATCTTTGATTCTAGTTAAAAACCATGATTAAAACAGTGGTTTAAATATATAACAAATGTATAAGTAGTTTCTGTATCTAGATTTTGTTGCCAATTTTGTCTTGGAAAAATAAATAAGAGTGGCATTATTCATATATAATAGCCTTTTCTGTCCTGGAATTTGTTTATTTTTCTATATTTCTATGAAATATCAATAATTTTCAGATATTTTTAAGTACTATATTCTCAATAGGGTTTGAGTTTTTAAGTAACCCGAACAGCATCACTTCTAGTGCAGTAATTTTGAATTCGTTCTCCTATTTTGTCTTTATCAAATGCATAAGAAGATCCCTTTCCAAATGTCAAGTTTTTAAAATAAAATGTAATAACTACTTAACATATGCCAATAGAATAGTGATGTGGGCATAAGTATCACTATTAATATTAAATAGCTGTATTTGAAAAGAATACTAGAATTGAATATTACTGAATTACTCATTTTCCTAATGTGGATACTAAGGAGCAATTGTGCTCAGTAAGAAAAGGCTTATTATACATGCAATACTCCTATGATTTTACAATTAATTTGTCAACTAGCTATATAATTCAGATTTGATTTCCTTTATCTTTTCATTTATGTGGTAATTACATGTTTCAAGTTGTACATTAAAAAAAATAATTTCCAGGTGAAGAAGGGGGTTAATAAGCAATCCTATAGTGGTAATAGATTCCAAGGCTTTCAGCTTCCTCATCTAACTTCTTGCTGAGTCACAAACTGCCTTCTCACAACAGGCTAACCATATTGTACAAGTCTCAGTGACAGATGTGCTGCCTCGCCTGTTGGCCTTTATCTATTTGCTTCCTCTGCATGTACAAATCTCACTATCACCTCCTAAGTATACGGAATTGAAGCCTTTGTGGAAAAAAAAACCTATTACAGGTGATTCGGAGGAAAAGCTAACTAGCCTGCTAAAATAAACATGAAGCCCCCTACTTATACTTACAAACTTAGACTCAAACCAGGCTAGAACTTCAATTTGGAGCATTTATGAATTAAATTACTGGGTTTAAATTTACAATCTGTTTTTGTGTTTCTCCTCAAATGTTGTTTCCAGCTCTATACACTTCATTCATTACAAAAGTGAAATCTCTTTCAAAACCTGCTTCTAATCTGTTTTTTAATATTCCTGTCAGATTTATAGATTTATCTGACATCCAAATATTAAAGAAGTCCATCCCTGCTTAGCTTCTGAGCCAAAACAAGATCTTCCATCTTATTCACCAGAAATAACATTTATCCATACTAATTTGTTTCTTATCATTATGGAAATCTAATGGGAACCCTACCACATTCTCTTTTTCTTTTGTTTTGCAGTTACTTTGAATACTAGTCGCAAACTGTGTCTGATGGTCATTTTGAATGGATTACTTTTCGAAAATGGCATCATTTACTTGTTCCAGAAAATAGGATGGGATGTCTGAGAAAAACTTGTTTCCTTAGGATGATAGTGAAAATATTTTAAGCTGTAGAAAATATTGCCTTTCAAGTCATTCACTTCATCACCGGTCAGTATTTGATCACTCCAAACAAAGTGGTAAAGAAATGCTGAATGTAAATGAAACTTTCTATGCCAAACCAACCAATTGACCCATAATAATTTAAGAGTGATGCACTGATATTTAATTTTTATAACAATTTTGCTATGTTTGATGTGATGGTGTTGTGCTAAAGTAAGAATATTGTTCTTTTAGCTGTTCTTTTTTCCTTCTGCATTCCTTTACATTTAAAAGAAAAAGGTATGCGATTGTTTTATTATAAAGTACAAAGAAGAAAATTATCATACTAAAAAGATGCAAAATGACAAAACAAGAAAAAAAACCAGTTTGACTCAAAGGTGTGTTCTGATAGCCACTCATAAAATAACAGTAAAGTGGCTTCACTTTGACATTTCTGGCAGTTGTGCTACTGGAAACACTGGAAATATATTTTTATTTGTGGAGTACTCATACTTTTAAGTTGATATTTATACATCCTCCAAGGAACAAATATAATTTTATAGACATATTTATAAATAAAGGATTTTTTTAATGACTAAATGCAACCTGTCTCTTTAAGAAACAGTATTATACCCATGTATTTAGGAGTAAGCTTCAAGAAAATCAAGTTACCGAAGTATGCAATGGATTGAACAAATACTATCTGATATTAATATTGCTTCATTAAGAGTAAGCTTGGCGATGTCATCCTATGATTTTTACTCAGAAAAAGTTGTAGAGAACTGCAATCACTCTCCAATAAGTATGTGCTTTTATTCTGAGCTTCACAGGTTACATGAACATGAACTGAATCTGCACTAAAGTGATTTGAAAAATAGTTTTAAATTATCTCTCTTGAAATGGTTCCAGTGGAAATAACTAATACGACTATCACTGAGGGGGGAAAATCTTAATTTGTATGAATGTTTAATTCCAATTCCAAACTGGAATCAATTTAGGCTAGTACAGGATAATAAGAGCTAATATTGTCTGATTTAAATTATTTTAAAGCTAAGCAAGTTTTGGATGGGCAAAACTATTAGTAGATTATCTTTAGAATAGAATGGAATTCTTTATTGGCCAAGTGTGATTGGACACACAAGGAATTTGTCTTTGTTGCATATGCTCTCAGTGTAGGTAAGGAGAATAAAATGAATTCATCAAGAATAAAAAGATACTTAGGCTAACACTTAGTGATAGTCAAGGTTACTAATAAGCTATCAAAGCTTACTAGGAATCAAATAAAACAATATAATTGAAAGATACAAGCAACATGGTTATAGTCAGAAGTGGGAAGAGACCGATACTAGAAAGGAAGAGAAGAATAATAGTAATACAATCTTATTAAATTATTTGACAGTGTTGTGGGAATTAGTTGTTAAGCAGAGTGATGGCATTCGGAGAAAAACTGTCCTTCTATCTAGTTGTTCTGGTGTTCAGTGCCCTATAGCATCGTTTTGAAGGCAGAAGTTGAAATAATTTGTGTCCAGGATGTGAGAGGTCTGTAGATATTTTCACAGCCCTCTTTAACAGTTAAAGTTTAATCAACGCTATTCTTATTATCAAGAAAGTGACAAGACTTTATTGTTAATAACTAAAGCAACGAAGTTTATCCATATGCTACCAAAAACTCTCATTGTCGTGAAATTTTCTGGATGAAAATAGCGCATCATAGGTCAACAGTTTTTAAACCAAGATACCTCAAATGGGCTCGCTTACAGAATGTGTCCAATATCCACGACCCTTGACTCCCAAGGGAATGTCATTTAGTGAGCCTATGTCTGTTTCAGTATTATTGACCCATGCTACACTGCTGGGCTGCTGCTATGTAACCTTCATTTTCAAAGTTCTGTGACAGTTCCCAGTCTTGTAATCCCTTGGCCCATGCCCCACCCAGAAGCAGCCATTTACCTGCCTGCTGAAAAGGGAGGGGAAGGGGGACGGAAGGAAGAAGAGGGAGGAAGGAGCCCCCATAGATTCTGCTCTGAAATTGATTTGAATAATGACAGAAGAAGGAGTATTATGGTTACAGGTACTCCTCGGCTTATGACCACAAGTGAGCCCAACATTTCTGTGGCTAAATGAAACATTTGTTAAGTCAGTCTTGCCTTTCGTGTCACGGTTGTTTAGTGAATCTGGCATCCCTATTGGCTTTGCTTTTCAGAAGGTCATAAAAGGTGCTCACAAGACCCTGGGAGACAGCAACTGTCATAAATATGAGTCAGTTGCCAAGTATCTGAATTTTGATCACATGACTTTGGGAGTGCTGTAATGGTCGTTAAGTGAGAAAAACTGTTATAAGTCACCTTTTTTCAGTGTCGTAGGTTTGAACAGGCACTAAATGAACTATTGTAAGTTGAGGCCTACCTATAATTATATTTTGAAAGTTAATTGTTAAAACAACTTTTTTAAAGTTTCAGAAAATGAGGTCAAATCTAGATATTAGATAAATACAGTACTCAACTTTTATTTTTTCTGACTAGCTAATCTACTATACAGGAGGAAGGAGCTATTTTGAGAATTAACAGTTGGTCTTACCAAGTCAGTGAATTCTAATGATTAAAGGATCAAAGTATATAACCCGTACAGGATTGGCTGTACAAAAAAAAAAGGAGTCAGTGGCTAAGATGCCAAGCTTGTCAATCAGAAAGGTTGGCGGTTCGAATCCCTAGTGCCACGTAACGGAGTGAGCTCCCGTTACTTGTCCCAGCTTCTGCCAACCTAGCAGTTCCAAAGCAGTATGTTGCACATCTCGATTTGATGAGAATCACTCTAAAATATTAACTGCTGTATCCATAATTCATTTTTTCATTAGGTGGGTAGATATTGCTAAAAAGCGTCAGGCTTTCTCATAAAATATAGCGGATCTTTTCTAAACATGGAATTCTATAGTCTCTTAGACGTTGACTATTATAAACTTGGGTCAGCAGAGAGAATGGCTAAGAGGATCAAGGGATTTGAAGTTCTACAAATTTGGAGGAAACACCATTGGGAAAATTTGGTTTACTGATACAAATTGAAGTCATGTAAGGACATGGTGGCTCAGTGGCTAAGACATTGAGCTTGTCAATCAGAAAAGTCGGCAGTTTGGTAGTTCAAATCTCTAGCTCAGTGTAATGGAGTAAGCTCCTGTTACTTGTCCCAGCTTCTGCAAACCTAGCAGTTCAAAAGCATGTAAAAATGCAAGTAGAAAAATAGGGACCACCTTTGGTGGGAAGGTAACAGCGTTCTGTGTGCCTTTGGTGTTTAGTCATGCTGGCCACATTACCACAGAGATGTCTTCGGACAGCACTGGCTCTTTGGCTTTGAAACAGAGATGAGCACCGCCCCCTGGAGTCGGGAACGACTAGCACATATGTGCTTGTTTACCTTTTTACAGGAATGGCATGCTATATCACCTTTTCTGCCTCAACCTTTTTCACCCTGTCTATTCAAGATTGAGCCGAGGTGGGGCAGTGGTTAAATGCAGCACTGCAGGCTACTGCTAGATCAGCAGTTCAGCGGTTCAAATCTCACCGGCTCAGGGTTGACTCAGCCTTCCATCCTTCCGAGGTGGGTAAAATGAGGACCCAGATTGTTGGGGGCAATATGCTGACTCTCTGTAAACCGCTTAGAGAGGGCTGAAAGCCCTATGAAGCGGTATATAAGTCTACTGCTATTGCTATTGCTATCATTGCCTTGAGCTTAACATAAGGTATTGTTACGTTACTCCTAGTTTTCAGCGTTCTGCAGAAACAGAGGAATAAAGAGGTAAAATTCTAAGCCAAAGTTAGAACAGTCAGAGATAAAAAGGCAAAGCTTCTGCATTTTCTAGATGTTGATACATAATTAAATCAGTGAAATGTCCATCTCAGTGCTTTATCGGTGGTGCCATGGTGGCTCGGTGGTTAAAATTCAGTATTGCAGGCTAACTCCTCCCACAGCCAGGAGTCCGATCTTGACCAGCTCAATGTTGACTCACCATTTCATCTTCTCAGGTAGATAAAATGAGAACCGAAAGCTTTGGGGAAAATATGCTGACATTTGTAAACTGCTCAGAGAGTATTGTAAAGCACTATGGAACAATATATATGTATACATAGTGCTATTGCTATTGCTCTTATCCACAGGCCAACAGGCTCAAAATATGCTTCCTCTTTGGGATGGCCTACAGCTGTTTCCTATAGTTTCCTGTATTGATGTTGATATACAATACAAACCTGTATTATTTAAAAACAAACAAACAACCCTGTACTTAATGATTGCTGGGGTTTTTGTTGTTGTATTTTGGTGCCTTTGAGTAATTGCTACTGCTGGTGACTGCCTAAATAAATCCCTGCAGTTTTCATATCAGGATTTCAGAAGTGGTTTGCCATTGCTTCCTTCCTGGAGCTGAGAGTGAGTATCTGGCCCAAGGTTATTCAGCTGGCTTCATAACCAAGATGGAACTAAAAATCACAGTCCTCCACTATCTAGCCTTATGCCTTAATCATTACATCAAACTGTCTTTCTTAATGGGGTTACCCAAAAGAAAATATGTAAGATTTCAGACTAAGGAATTGTGGATGGTAGAGGAAGAAGAAATGATAACAAAATTTCAGTTTATCAGAAAAGCTATTACAATGGAATGAAATTCCATGTTCTGTACTGTTTCTCTGTACTGTTTTTTGCTTTTATATTAGAAAATGCAAAAAAGCCATGCATGCAGATTTAAATCATATTTGTATTCCTTTGTACTATTCAAATATGGTAGGGAGGACAAAAAGAAAAATAAATATAGCTCATCCCAAAGAAATCTGGACTAAATTTTAAAATACTGATATAAGATGCTGAGGTGGTTTTTTATTTTTTTATTTTTTGACAACTAAGGGATATTTCGCAGCAGGAAGCCATTTCCTTGGCTTTCTTGAGATTCTGTTCTTTTCTTTCTTTTTTGAATTGGAAAAGAATGCCAGATGTCTGTAGAAATAATACCAGACAACATGTTGAGCAATCTGAACTTTGAGCAGCTTCATAGGAATGTGTTCCTAGCAACAGAATTTACATTTTATAGATAAGCCGCTGGGTCATTAAGAGGAAAAACTACTCTTCCTCTATTTGGCAACAAATAAAGCGTTAGCTGGTCCAAGATTCTGCAGAGTATATGTAGCGTGGCCTAAAATCTGATTGGGATAAAGGTTTCACTATGTACATATATTGAATTCATGCATTGAAAATTGTATAGATAACAGTTCACTACATTACTACAGAGGATGGATTAGAAAGGGGATTCCCTCTCTTCCTTTCTATTTAGGGCCATCATTTTCTGGGAATGGGAATCTCCAACTTTGGAAATCCCCCAAAGAGAATGTAATCATGTTGGGGAGACCTGTGGATTTGTTGCCTCTACTAGTAGTGCCCAGTTGGTTTAAATGTATTTTCCCTCATTGTATGCAATAAGATGTTTAGTTTTACTGTTGCTGGCAAAACAGGAAGGAACAATGAGAATTTGCTTCCAACAGCACTTTAGGAAATGACAAAGTACTTGACAGTATTTTTTTTGGCCTGATGAGAGCATAGTACAGTAATGTAAAAGGCCAAAT